GAGCTCAGGCTTTTAACCTTCTAATCTTGCTACATCACTTTCAAATTCTGGAGAGAAGTGAGGTTGGTTATCTATATTCTTTTTAGTGTGTACAGAACTTTCCTTTCAGACAGACTATAGAATAGCTGCCCTAGCAGCAGATGCCAATCTACAGTTGGTGTATTTGTTAGCTATTGCTGTGTAACAATAACCACAGAACTAGCATCTTAAAACAACACATATTTCTTAGCTCACAGTATGTGTGTTCAGGAGTTCGTGCCTATCTTAGCTCAGTCCTCTGCCCAGGTATCACAGGCAATAGTTAAGGTGTCAGCTAGACTAGGTTTTCCTCTGGAAACTCAACTATTAAAGAATCAGCTCCCACCCTCAGGCAGATTGGCAGAATTCATTTCCTTGATGTATAAAATTAGGGCCAGCCTCTTGCAGGTGCTTTGCTGGAGCCACCCTGATTCGTGGAGGTTTCTTGGAGTTGCTACAGGCCGGCTGCGTCCTCGCCACGTGAGCCACAGAGCCGCTTCATCGGGCCAACCAGGAGTCTCTAGCCTGGCAGCGAGGCAGGCTTATGTAATGTGACATAATCCAGGTGAGGCATAGTAACCTCCATCTTGTATAAAAGACTGTTGTTTGAAATTCTCTTATTGTTAGATAATCTCTTGTCCTGTAAACTCTGTCATGGTCTCTTATTCTATAAAATGAGTTTGTTCTTAGTTCAAATAATAGAAAAAGATAAACTTAACTGTCTGACCTTGCAAACTAGCCATCTAACTAATATGCTGATATTGATGCCAGGTGCCTGTATAGATATGATACTCAAGGTTACAGATGTCTGTATAGATATGATATCTCATGGTTACAAGTTGTCTCTGCAAACAAAGGCTTGAAAAGTATAAATACGAGAAACTTCCTGTATGTGGGGCTCAGAGATTTGGAGGAGACGCCTCCCTCTGGGCAGTGTGCAATAAGCAACTCCTAATTAATTGGCTCATTAAGGTGTCTTGTATCGCATTTGCTGACTTATGATATAACACAAGAAGTGACATCCCATCATTTTTGCCACAGTATGTTGGATAAGATCACAGTCCTGCCCACATTCAAGGAAAAAGAATTATATAAAGGCATGAACATCAGGAGAGGAATAATGTGAGGTCATTTAGGCTCTGTCGCCACAACTAGCATATGTACATTTGGGATAGGAACAGTGTTACAGAATGTGGTGCTTGGAGGAGACAGATGCTGAGCGTGGCTTGGGTAATAAACAGATGAAGGTCATAAAAACAGCAGATGTAAACAAGTTCAAAAGTTTCATAACCTTTTTTTTTTTAATTTTATTGATTTTGTACAGAGAGGAAGGGAGAGAGAGAGTTAGAAACATCGATGAGACATAGTCATCGATCAGCTACCTCTTGGACACCCCCTACTGGGGATATGCCCGCAACCAAGGTACATGCCCTTGACCGGAATCGAACCCGGGACCCTTCAGTCCCCAAGCTGATGCTCTATCCATTGACCAAACCGGTTTCGGCAAAAGTTTCATAACCTTTATATGTGTTGCTCATTTAACTGATACAATCAGATTGAGGTAAGTAGCAGTATTCTCATCTTATGAATGAGTGAACTGGAAGAAACTAGTAGTTTCCTAGCTAGGGAGTTGGCCAAGGGTTGTGTCTGGACTTAAAAAATAAAAAAAATACATTACATGATCAACCAGCAGATGTGGTGTCTTTGGTGTCTTGACCTGTTTTGCACTAGTTTCCTTCTTCACCTCACCCCAAATTGGGGATTCCTGTTGGCATTGAATTGTTGCTAACGAACATTGCTTGACACTTTCTAGGTAGCAACTGTGGAACTGGAAGCAATCTATCAGGTGATTATTAAAGGTTGAGGTCAATAAAAGGCACTTCAGCCAAAACCGGTTTGGCTCAGTGGATAGCGCGTCAGTCTGCGGACTGAAAGGTCCCAGGTTAGATTCCGGCCAAGGGCATGTACGTTGGTTGCGGGTATATCCCCGGTAGGGGGTGTGCAGGAGGCAGCTGGTTGATATTTCTCACAGATGTTTCTAGCTCCCTATCCCTCTCCCTTCCTCTCTGTAAAAAATCAATAAAATATATTTTTTTAAAAAGAGAGATGAAATTTCTCTTTGGTTCTCCTTTAAAAAAATAAATAAAAGGCACTTCAGGCTTTGGCAAAACCCTGGAGCCAAACTGTGGAGAATTGGTGGAATTGTTGTTGAGATCCAATGTTTGGAGAGGTATCAATAAGAGAAGCTAAATTATTAAGGCCTTTGAATACTGGGACTAGAAATTTGGAATATATTCTAAATTTATTAGAATATCATGGATGAAAAGGACTCAGATTAATGCTTTAGAAAAAAACTGTGTGGAGAACAGATTGTGAGTAGGAAGAGAGTTGAATAGAGGCAGCACTCCTGTAATCCACACAAGCAATAATGAAAGTATGACCCAAGCCCTAGCTGGTCTGGCTCAGTGGATAGAGCGTTGGCCAGCGGACCAAAGGGTCCCAGGTTCTATTCTGATCAAGGGCACATGCCCGGGGTTGCGGGCTTGACCTCCAGCAGGGACTGCCCAAGAGGCAGCCAATCAATGATTCTCTCTCATCATTGATGTTTCTATCTCCTCTTCTCCCTTCCTCTCTGAAATCAAGAAAAGTATATATATATATATATATATAACATATATATATATATATATACATATATATATATATATATAAAATAAAAGTGTGACTCAAGGCTTATGGAAGGGATGGAAACGGGTAGAGATGACTCTGTAAGATGAAAGAGTAAAAACAAGATAAAACTAAAGGCAGAAAGGATGGTGATGCCATTAACCCAACCCAGACATCAGGAGGAGTAGAGATGAAGCAAATCAATAAAGGTGATTGATATATTACATTTCAGGGGCTGCGGGTGGAACTGCAGGTGCGAAACTCACTGCCATGTAGATACAGTTTTGAATTATTTTCAGGAACAATATTTGGAGCTGAGAGTGCATTTAACCAGTTAGGAAGATAGCGCAGCATTGTGAAAGAGGGCTGGAGAATGCTACACAGTTTTGGTGGAGAAGGTATAGTGGAGATGATAGGGATAAGAGAAGCAGGAAGAAGGGTGGATGCAGAGGCCAAGGGGAGAACGTTTTCAGCAGGATTGTCATAAATCAGACAAGGCGAGAAGCTGAGCAAGTCGCCTGCAGATTGGGGCATTTTAAGGAGGGTGGAAGCAGAATCCATCCAGTGTGGAGCCTGCCCGGAGGAGAGAGGAGGCTGAAGTACACTGCAGCAGTTATTTCGAAAGAAATTCGGTAAGGGAAGAAAGTGCGGAAGGAGAAGGCCTGGGAAGGAGGGCTCCTGAGGCAGCAGATGTCCAGGCAGCGGTGCAGGAGGGCGCAGGGACAAGCTCCGGGTCTGATGACCACCTGTGAAGCAGAGGAACGTCATGTTTATTATCAGCCCCAAATCCTGCTTCACAGCTTTGGCTGAGACTTTCACGTTATGAACTCCCACCCTGCAGCCCTCCCCACCGCCCAACCCAACAGTACCATCCCCTTCGCTTCCTCGTGATCCGGAGACAGCAGGTGCAGCGCCTCAGCGCCAGAAACGCTGTCGGAGCCGGGCTTCACCGGGGCTCGACTCCGGGGCGGGCAAACAGAATCGGTCCCCAGATGGGCTTCGGCGTCTGTGGCCTTCGCGGCAGCGCGGCGGCATCAGTGTCACAAGCAGCGCGGGGAAGGCAGCCTCTTCGGGAAAGCCCTCGGCTCCTTCTCCGCAGCGGCAGGCCTCCCTCACCCGCGCCGCACTCCCCTGGGGAAAATGAAAGCTAGTGCCTGGGCAGAAGCAAAAGGGCGGGATCCACTCTCCTTAACGCGCAAAGGAAAGGCCAGAACCAACCCTGAATCCCGAGGCGGGCCTTAGGCCTCTGCTGAACCGCCGGGAGGCCCCGCCCAAGCCCGCCTCCCAGAGCCGGGGACTACATTTCCCGTCGGCCTTCGCGGCCCCGCGGGCAGACCCGCCCTCCCGCTCGCTCACACTGGCGGTGACTGGTTCCCCGGAGGAGGGCGGGGCCTGCCTTAGCCAATAGGAGGGGTGCTCGTTACGGCGGCGGAAGCAGCGGCGCTGGGCTAAGTGGTGAGGGACAGAGTGCTTGCGCCCCGGCGGCGGCGGGGGCGGCGGCTGCAGCGGAGGGTCCGGGGCCGAAGACGTGGGGCCCCAAGCTGCGAGCACCCGGGAACGAGCTCGAGGCTGCGCGGCGACCACTCGGTGCAGCGCCCAAGTAATGGCGGGACGGGCACCGGGAACGGAGGGGCGAAGAGGGGAGGAGACGAGGGGGCGGGGCGGTCGAGCCGGGATGCAACGTCCGTCCCGCTGCGCGTCCGCGGGGAAGGGCAGCGGTGCCGGGTCCGCAGTGGCTTGGCCCCAGGCTGTATGGCGAGCGGGGCTCGGCGGGCGGACCCGGCGTCCTGCAGCCAGAGAGGAGAGGCGCTGGGTTGATTCGGGTGGGCCTGGGCCGTGGCGAGGAAGCGAGCGGCGGGGCGGGCGGGCGGGCAGCCTGGGAGTTTGGCTCCAGGAGCAGTTTAAAGTGACTCTCCACATCCGGGCCCTGCGCCCGCCGCTTTTAGACCCCGGCGAAGGCGAGGCCTCCGCTCTCCGCCCCCCGCGCCGGAGAGCCGTCTTCCCTGTCATTGGCTCCGCCTCGCCGGCTGGGACGGCCGCGGCCAGGCTCGCGCCTGATTGGCTGGCAGTCGGCGGGCGGGACCTGACTGCGCAGGGCGCGGCTGATTGGTGCCAGGTTTGGTGACGGCCGACCCGGGCCAATGGGCGGGCAGGGGTGTTGGGGGCAGGTCCGGGGAAAGGGCTGGAACGCCCGGCGGCGCGGCGCGGTCCGGGGCGGCCCGGCTCCGGGCGAGCGAGCGGGGCTGCCTGTGGTCCAGCCCGAAGCGCACTCGTTGAGTCCCGTCTGCGGCCCGGAGCTCCGCGCTGCCGCCGAGATGGGCCCTCCGCGGCCTGCCCAGCCCGGCGAGATGCAGGCGGGGGCGGCGGGCGGCGGCCGCGGGGTCCCGGACGCCGGCTCCCGCTCCACGTAGCCTCGGAGGCCCGAGGTGTGTGGGAACTGCCCTCCCTCTCCGCGGGGTGGGGGCGAACAGGGCGTCCGAGAGCTTGGCTTCGAGGGGCCAGGGAGTACATTGCAGAGGAGGCGTGGAGGTCCGGTCCCTCTGGCCCGGGGTCTGAAAGGGGGACAGTTCTTGGGAATTCCTTTTGGGTGAGGTTTCTGATTCTTTCTGAGGACTGGGCATCTCCTTCCGACCCCTGCTGCTCCCCTTGTGAGGGTCACAGATACCACGTACTGTATTGTGGCTGCTAGGCAGGATTCAGGTGTTTTAACGTGGAAACCCAGTATTTGTGGAGGGCCAGTATCCCCAACACCATGTAAACGACTTTGCTATTAATTAAACTTAGGTACATCCAAAATTACAGAATTTAGATCATTTCTGCACTGTATATTGATCACAAGTAATTGTTATAGATGAATAATGCTGCAGTGATTGTTTCCGAGGGGAGATATAGGTACTAAAGGTGCTTTCATTTTTCATTATAGATTTTAATCTAAGAACCCAGTAATAACCATATGATTGTATGCATGCAGGTGGAAATGAGTTCTCAGCAGTTTCCTCGGTTAGGAACTCCTGGCCCTGGGCTAAGCCCGGCTCCGGCACAGATCGCCAGCAGTGGTTCCGCAGGACTGATAAACCCAGCAGCTGCAGGTGAGACGTGAGATACTCTGTTGTTTCCGTTTTAAGAATATTGTCAGTTTTCTCATTAAAAATTAGCAAATTTCTCCTGTGATTTTAGTAAAGACTAAGTTGTCAAATTTAATGAAAGGACATGTTACAATTCTAATTTAAATTTAAGCAATTCTTTCCCCCACCCCCATTTTAGTCACATCATTCACATGTACTAGTGTATTCATGAAAGTTATAGTATAGATTTTAATAAATGCCTTCTCATTTACTTAAGGCCCAGAGATATGGTAATAAGAGCCCAAAGCTGTGTCGGACATAGGCCTTGTTTTAGAGGTCAGATATGCTGCTAACCATTCTCCAATATGCAGGAAAGAATTCTGTTGAATTAACAGTGCTGAAGGGGAAGAACTTCAAATAGTCTCCTTCTCTTTAGATATCACGTAAAAAGATGGCGCTGCAAAGTGAAATGACGCACTTTTTCCTACTTATTTTTCTTTGCTATGTGATTGCTCTGTTCTTTATTGTGGTAAATGGTGCCACTGTCTACTCATTGCTCAAACCAGGAACATCATCTTTAACTAATCTTTGTCTCTTCCATATAAGCTATGGCCTTCTGTCTAATGTTTCAACCTCTTTTCTATGACTTGGCTTCCCTCTGCCAACTTAGTTTTTGTTATAAATTTATTTTAGTTTTGTTTATTCTTGAAGTGGTAACTTGAAGCAACTTTATGTCTCCTGCATAATTGTATCTATCACATTTTCTGAACTCATTATAACAAATTCTAGGCTTTTTTTTTTTTTATTGACTTTTTATAGAGAGGAAGAGAGAGGGATAGTAAGAAATATCGATGAGAGAGAATCATCGATCAGCTGCCTCTTGCACACCCCCTATTGGGGGATGTGCCCGCAACCAAAGTACATGCCCTTGACCGGAATTGAACCCGGGACTCTTCAATCCACAGGCTGATGCTCTATCCACTGAGCCAAACCGGTTTTGGCAAATTCTAGGCTTTCTTGACCTTGAGAATTTGAACATTTTTTTTTCCCTTTTGCCACAATCTTGCTTCTTCCTTTCCACACTTATTTGTCTGGCTAATTTCTGTTCTTCTTGAGGTTTTAAGTCAGATGTCACTTTCTCTAGGAAGCCTTTGCTGACTCCCATCATCCATAACAATTGATTGTCTCCTGCCCTTCTGCTAACCAGTGTAGGGCACAAAGTAGTAGTCAGCAAGTTATTGTAGAAAAACTGAAAAATGCCTTATTCCTTCAACACTTTTACACTATTTTGTCTTTGGTGTAAATTCACAACAGAATAATTTAAAAGAGCATAGCTAAGATAATATTATTGAACATCTCTTCTTACATGGAATTATATTGCTCATTTTCAAAGCTGTTAGCAATAATTGCCGTCATATTTTGTTGAGAAGCAAATCATTGACTTAGACCAAAATTGTCTATAATTGCAAAGTTCAGAAGAATAGATTACAATTCTCTATTGCTTCAAGATTCTTTTCTGGTAAAAGTAAACTGAAATTGAGAACTCCAGATTTCTGTAAGGAAATGATAAATAGTTCCAAAAAGAGCTTAAGAAAGATGGTCAGTATATAATAACTTTTTAAAAATACATATTTTTATTGATTTTAGAGAAGGAGGAAGAGATGGAAACATCAGTGATGAGAGAGAATTATTGATCAGCTGCCTCCTGCATCCCCCACACTGGGGATTGGAGCCCACAATCTGGGAATATGCCCAATCTGAAATCAAACTGTGACTTCCTGGTTCATAGCTTGATGCTCAACCATTGAGCCACACTGGCCAGGCAGTACATTATATCTTTTTTTTTTTTTTAATCTCTATTGTTCAGATTATTACAAATGTGTTTCCCCCCCCACCCCCCAATTATTCCCCTCCACCAGGTTCCCACCCCACCCTCTGTCCTTTCCCCACCCCCCATTGTCCTCATCCATAGGTGCACAGTTTTTGTTCAGTCTCTTCCCGAACCCCCACTCCCCTTTTCCCCGAGAATTGTCAGTCCACTCCCCTTCCATACCTCTGATTCTATTATAATCACCAGTTAATATTGTTCATCAGATTTTTAATTCCCTTGGTTTTTAGATTCACTTGTTGATAGTTACGTATCTGTTGTTCATAGTTTTTATCTTTATCTTCTTCCTCTTCCTAAATAGCCCCCTTCAGCGATTCATATAATTCTGGTTTGGTGGTGATGAACTACTTTAGCTTTCTTTTATTTGTGAAGCTGTTTATCTGGCCTTCGATTCTGAGTGATAGCTTTGCTGGGTAGAGTATTTTTTGCTGTAGGTTCTTGTTATTCATCTCCTTGAATATTTCTTGCCATTCCCATCTGGCCTGCATGGTTTCTGTTGAGAAATTAGCTGACAATCCTATGGGTGCTCCTTTATAGGTAACTACCTGCTTTTCTCTTGCTGCTTTTAATATTCTCTCTTTGTCTTTTGCTCTTGAAATTTTAATTATGATGTGTCTTGGTGTGATCTTCCTTGGATTCCTTTTGTTTGGGGTTCTGTGGGCTTCCTGGACTTGTAAGTCTATTTCTATCCCCAGATGGGGGAAGTTTTCTGTCACTATTTCTTCCAGTATGTTTTCGGTATCTTGTTCTCTCTCATCTTCTGGGACCCCCATAATTCTGATGTTGGTTCGCTTGAAGTTGTCCCAGAGGTTTCTTACACTATCTTCAACTTTCTGGATTCTCTTATCTTCTTGCTTCTGCAGAGGAGTTTCCTCTGGCTCTTTGTGTTCTAAATCTTTGTCTTGATTCTTGCGATCTTCCAGTCTGTTTTTAAGACTCTGTGTAATATCGATATTTTTTTATTTCAGACAATGTTTTTTTCATTCTAGTTGATCCCTTATTATTTCTAGTTGCTCCCTTTTCATATCCTCATAGATCTCGTTTATTTTATCAGCCTTTTTTAGGATATTCTTGAATAACCTTATAACTATAGTTTTGAACTCAATGTCCAATCTTTTCTTTCCCTCCATCTTCTTCCTCTGTGTCTTGGCTCTTGTCTGCATTTCAATTGTTTCCCTAATTTGATGGAATAGTTTTGTGTGCTAGGTGTTCTGGTAGAGCCCAGTAGCACAGCCTTCCCAGTTACCTGCAGTGGACAGTCCTGGTGTAGCCCTTTGTGGGCTGTGTGTGCAGTCTTGTTGTTAAGCCTTGCTTATTGTTGGTATCACTGGGAAGCGTAGCTAGGAGGGCTTCTGTACCCCGCTTGAATGGGGCGGGGTCTCGGGGTGGCGCAGACAATCTTTGGTTCCCTGTCAGTCTCGCCTTAGAAAAGTCTTCTCAGTGAGTTTCAGAAGATTGATTGCAGGCGCGCGCACCTCTTTGGTAAAGGCACAGACCAGCTTGGATTCTGGCCAGTCCCTCCTTAGAGAAAGCCAGCCTCTGGGAGAGCTTCTGTGCTCAGCTTGGAGGGGCGGAGTCTTGGAGTGGTGCAGACAAGCTTTGTTTTCCCATCTGCTCCTCCCCAAGTGGCTCCTCCCCAAGTCCCGAAATAATGGCCTCTGGATTCACACACCTCTGAGAGATCTCTGCCTGGTGCCTGACAGTCTGGCCTCTCCCTGTCTGGGGCCATCTATCAGAGCAATAGTGTGGTTCTGTTTTCCTCTCGAACAAGAAAACCAGTCTCACATTAGCTGTCCGCCCTCTCTGCACGCCGAGAGTAAGCCAGTAGCGAACTCGGTCCGGCCCTCCCTCTCCATGTGCCGGGAGTAAGCCAGTGCCTTTTCGTGCGTGCAGTTCTCTGTACCTTCACAGCTCCTGAGGCTCAGTCTGCCTTCTCTCTCATTCCCAGATGGCAGAGCCTCCTCTCAGCTAGCCCTCCGGCGCTTCAGTGCAATGCCTCCCCTGTTTTCCAGTTCTAAATTCAAATTTGTTGTGGTAGGCCGCATTCGGGTGTCTACCCTAGGCTGCCTTCTTGGTTTCTCCCAAAGCAAAGTTTTGATTTCAGTACATTACATATTAATGAAATTGCCAGTAATCAAAGTCTTCCTGAACAAATTGATTTGGAGGAAATTTATGAAATTGTCCATTTTCCTTAAAATTTTAATTAGGGGAAAAATCTGTTTAGATTTTTCTAAAAATTGATAATGAGAGGCAGAAGTAAAACTGCTTTTATTCACAAACAACATGCTCATGTATGCAGAAAATCCTAAAGAATGTTTGTAACAAGCTGTTAGAACTAATGAGTGAAATTAATAAAGGTTTCAGGATAAATGTTTGATATACAAAAATCAATTCTATTGAACAATGAAATTTTTTAAATGTCAGTTACAGTGGCATAAAAAAAAAAGCCCACAGAAAAGTCAGGGATGTGTTAACAAAATATGGGTAAGACCTAAGATTAGAAAGAGATGTAAAACTTTGCTGAGAGAAATTAAAGATCTAAATAAATATAGACCTGTCATGTTCATGAATATTTTTTATACACTGATCTATTCATTTTCAATGTTTTTATTTTTATTTATTTTTAAAATCTTTATTGTTCGGATTATTACAGACTAGAGTCCCGGTGCACAAAAATCATGCACAGGGGCAAAGAGGGTGTTCCTCAGCCCAGCCTGCACCCTCTCCAATCTGGGTCCCCTCTCACAATCCAGGACTGCTGGCTCCCAACTGCTCACCTGCCTGCCTGCCTGATAGCCCCTAATTGCTTCTGCCTGCCAGCCAGATCACCCCCCTAACCACTCCCCTGCCAGCTTGATTGATGTCTAACTGCTCCTCTGTCAGCCAGTTTGCTCTCATCTTCCCTCCTCCGCCAGCCTGGTCACCCCTAACTGCCCTTCCCTGCAGGCTTGATCACCCCCACCTGTCCTCCCTTGCAGGCCTGGTCCCTCCCAACTGCCCTTCCCTGCTGGCCATCTTGTAGTGGCCATCTTGTGTCCACATGGGGGCAGGCAGCCATCTTGTGTGTTGGAGTGATGGTCAGTCTGCAGATAGGATGTTGATTTTATCCCCCAGGCCTCCCTCCCGCCCCACTGAT